TATATATATATATATACAGTGCATCTCTGCAGCAGTTGCCCATCTCCCCATGTTATATCCCTTTAAAGGTTCTACAAGTACAGAAAAATACGTGTTCGATCTTCCAGAAACGCTCTCCGCTCCCGAGTCCTGTTGCGGGCTAACAACATTTTCGTGGACTGAGTGGTGTCAGCCCTGCCCAGTTTTCTCTTGCCAAACTACTCTGACCTAACTACTCTCTCATCTACACATAAGACCCCGTTCACACCGGGGCGGTCCGGACATGCGGATTTGGGCGCACGGATCCGCCGACATGAATGATCCCATACATTGCTATGTGGACCGTTCATGTGACCGCACGATCCGAACCGTCCCCCTCCCGAACTGCTCCCTGCACTATTTTTGCCGTGCTGATCGTTGCGGTTTCCATAGAGGTTTCAATGCAACCGTGCTCATCAGTGCGGTTTTGGGCGTTTTTAATTGCGTTTCAGCGCTGAAAAGCAATTAAAAACTCCCAAAACCTCCCTTTTAAGATCAGCGCGGTAACCGGGCCCTGGTGTGAATAGGCTCTAAAGGCTAATCATTCTGTAGTCCCAAGATAAGGACTGGGATGGCTAATAATACTCTTTGGGATAACACAGGAATTGTGCAAAGGATACAGGACAGGTACACTGGTAGAATTTTCGAGGGAGCTTTCACATCCACAAGTGATGTAAACAGGGCGGCTCCTGCGTTTCTTGCTTCCAGGCTCTGTGGATGTAATCTGGCAGACCGTTGCATCCCTGTGCTGCTGATCTGCATGGACTCACGTGATGGTTGGTTAAACCCTTGGTTCTCAACTGGTGGGTCGTGACCCCACGTTCAGTTGGTCGACACATTCCTTCCACTTTTCTAGGCGAGAGACTCCTCAGCCTCCCCCTAGCGCAGCAACATCAGTTCTCGTGCTAAGCAGCCATTCAAAATATGCCGCCCGGCCCTGCACGTCAGCTTGAGGTGGGCTGGAAATATGGCCACAAGGGAGCTCCGTCCATACGTGCATTGCTTACAGCTCACACATGTGCCCTGTAGAGGTGCCTGGACTGGACTGACACCACATTCTGGCTCCCGTCGCCTCTATAGGGCGCATAAGGGAGTCGCGATCCCGTGTTCAGTGGGTCGCCACATGCCTTCCACTTTTCTATGCGAGAGACTCCTCTGCCTCCCCCTAACGTAGCACTGTCAGTTCAAAATATGCTGCCCGCCGCCAAGTGTTAGCTTGAGGTGGACCGGGGGTATGGCCACAAGGGAGCTCCATCACGTGCTTACAGCTCCCTCACGTGTCCTGTAGAGGTGCCTGGACAGGCGTGACACCACAGTCTGGCTCCCGGCACCTCTACAGGGAGTGCAAGGGAGCTGTACAAGCAAAGCACATATGGATGGAGCTCCGTCACAGCACAGCAGCCCACACTGGCCCCCAGGCTGAGGATCCACTTCAGTTCTCATAAAGTAGGGAGACTGGGAGGATCTTGAAAAAAAAAAAAGTGTGTGAGAATATATGTGAGTGTGCGAGTCGGTCAGTGCTTTTGAGGGTCCGTTCACACTAGTACTAGTTCACACAG